AATCAAGGCTTGCCTCTTTCTTGTGCATTTCTCATTGTCCAAGACGTCACTGAGTGTTGCATCTAAAATTCAGCCTGGAATTTTAGGTATAACATCTGTTCAGCATCACTGAAGTCTCACTTTCCTAACAGGTTTTCCTTGCAGCCCTTCTAAGCTTTAGCATTTCATGCCCCTTTCTTCCTCTTTGGGGATGTGTGTATCAACAGAATAGCCGGAGCACAATCCTCACGTTTAGGAAGGAAAGCTGCTGAGCTCTGCCGTGGGTACACCCAGAAGTACAGATCTTGAAGGAACCCTCACACCTCCACCTCTTTGTGTGCCTGAGCATCCCTCCCCTGGCTGTGGTCAGGGCCCCTGCACACAGAGCATCTCTGCTCTAGCTCTTGGTCAGCCCTGACTTGGTCAGGCAGTTGGACTAGATGATCACTGTAGTCCCCTTCCAACTGAAATACTCTCTTCTCAAGCATGGAAGCGGGACTGCAGCAGGGCATCACTTTCCCCTTACAATGTTTGATACCTTCCTGCAGCTAGACATTTCTTATGGCTGCTAGCTCCTCCATCATATAACCATGTGGATACTCATTGGGAATTGGGATATCCATCTTCTGCTCCCACCTCTACCCAAAGCTCACCCACTTTCCCATTCCCTTAGTTTTAACACATGCAAAACCAGAAATGGCCACGAGAAGTCAAAAAGTGGGGGATGGTGACGGAGGAATGGATGCTGTCATTGCTCATCTATATACTCCTGGACCTGTCTGCAAGAGGAATGCTTGGATCCCAGGGCTCAGGTGCTGGTGGATGTGGGATAAACAAGGCAACTGTTTGCAAAATAAAAGTTTAAGAGATGGAGACCAGCAACAAGAGAATTGTAATTCAGCTTTCTTTGTTAAAAAAAAAAAACAAAACCAGAACAAAACAAGAACCCAAAACATAGAACAACCCAAACATTTAACAGATTTGTTAACCACAGACATAAAAGAATCAAGAAATACTCGAAAAAATACATTGCAGGAGACATCCTGTTTTACAAGGCAATTTGATTAAGTTACTACTGGCTGAGCAGCACTCGGTCAGTTGTGGAATAGCTGTGTTGACAGGAACACAAACAGTGTAAATAGCGCTTACTGTAGAAGTATTAAGACTAAAAGATATTTACCCCTTAAAATAAATAGAATGTTATCTATAGCAACATTTAAATTAGTACAATATTTTTAAAGCAACCAAATATAACAAAATTGTAAATCAGATCTAGATTTTCTTCTATATGTTAAGATCTTTTTTGTGTGTGTGTTAAAAAAAAACAAACAAAACCCAACAAAAATACAAACTTTAGAAGAAAGGTATCTCTGAAAAGTCAAATTATTCACTGGCAGTGAATCTGACCCTCCTTTTGTTCTTCAGGCCAGCACAAGGTGTGGGTACCACTTAATATTCTCCCTCTGCAAGGACTTAGGTGGGACACAGACCTCACCCTGTCCTCTGAACTAAGGAGTCTTTCCCTGCAAGTGATGTTCATCCCAGTGCTGGGGATGCAGCCAGACCCCACAGCACCACTGGCTAGGATGCGGGAGAGCATCCAAGTGCTTGCAGAGCCCCTGCGCCAAGATGAGCATCACCCAGGGGGAACAATTTAGGTGTAGATATAAAGTCTCTTTTAGGCCATTTAAAAATTAATTCAATAGTTAAAAAAATACTTCTTTTTTCTCATTAACACTTCAACAGCTACAGGAAGCAACACCCCGTGTCACGCAAGGAACAGGGGGCTAAAAGCAAAGAAGTAATCCTCTGGACACTGGTTCCTTAGGGGCCACTGAGTCACATTGCCTACCACTACATCTTGTGGGTGAGAGCATCTGCACCAAACTGAGAGCTCTTGATTCCACCAACCCCAGCGACATCACACGCACATCCTCCCACCCCAGCTACTAGTTCCAGTTCGAACTGTGTATAAACTGGGAAGAAACTTCTTACATATGGGCAAAACCAATGTAACTCCTCAAGGACTGACCAGAAATGGAGGTCCATCAGCATCCCTCAGTGCCAAGGTCCCCGGCGGAGGCATGGGAGCAGATTCCCATCACCACAGGGAGGCAATGGAATGCATCAAGGCTGCTGCACTCCCTGGTCAGGAGCCGTGGCGCCAGCTCCAGCCATGCTGGCCCCTCCTGCAGCCAGCAAACCTCGACAAGAGCCCCAGGGGGAACTGGAGCTGTCTCATCCCTGGCTGCCCTTTCCCAGGCTCCAGTAGGAAGCTTTGTTCCAGCCCTTTCTCAATGGCCAAGGCGGCCCTCCCCTTTGATATCATTATAAATGCAGTTGCGCAACCAGCTGAGGGAAAAGCTGGCATCCCACAAGAACAGCCCCAAACAGCCAGTGTTGTGCAACAAACAAGAACATCTGGCCTTATTACTTTACTTCTATTTTTTGTTAAAGCCCAAGAACACTGAAGGGATGGGCACCTTCCCAGACTGAGTGGAAGCCTTCCCTGTGATTCTCCACAGTGAGACCACTGTGGCAAGACTCTGCCCCTGTAAACATCTTCCCATGGTTGGGAACTCACATCCATAGGGAAGAGCTCTGCTGGGACGCTGCTGCCCCTCAAGGGCTCTGCTCTCTGTCCGACCCACAGTGGAGGAGCCCAATTTATTCCCCTGTCTGAGATGCCAGGAGAGGGCTTGAAGAACAGAAAAACCCACTTTGTAAGAGTTTCCGTCAGTTGAAGAGTCTTTAAAGCTTGTTCAACAGTGACGGAGCCCCTCTGAACTTAGTATCCACGGAGGATGCTATTAAAAACAAAAAAGACAGAAAACACTGCAAATACTACAGGAAGTTTAAAACATTAACAAAAAAATCCACCCACAATGACATATATCCCCTCATTTTTGACCAGAAGCAGTCTGCAGGGCTGGTTCCCCTGACTGTAGGGAAGAAGGTTTCTCATTTATAAAGAGGAACCCAATGGATAAGCAAATGCCTGGCAGCCGGCTCCTGCCTGTTTAGCAGTCCCTGTAGGATGCTATTCTGTGAAAACCCCTAACTGCCTGAGACCCTAAACACTTCAGAACAAGGTAAGAGCGGTAACTGAAAAGGGGGGGTTAGTACAAGGACGAAGGGGCTACTAGTGGCACAGCCAGCACTTGCAGAAATACACAGCCATGGCTCCACAGTTGGACTCAATGATCTTGAAGGTCTTTTCCAACCTCCACGATGCCACTGATGCAGATGCTCTGGCTGTGTTTGCACAATACTGTCACATGAAATAGACTCACATGGTACCTCGATTAACTGTAGCTACTGTTTAGGAAAGCCAGTTCATGGTCACTGTGTCTGTGTATGTGCTTTATAGGAAGGGTGTATCTCCAACTGGTGGGTCACGACAGGCGTGACTGACCATGGCCTCAAAAGAGCACAAGCAAACACAGAAACAACAGAAAAATCCCACACCCGGCACTGGGAATGGTGAGAAATTTCCTGTGAGGTCTCTGTTCCTCCTTGCACCTCATTCCACATTGGAGGAAACCAAGCAGCAAGGAGCTCTTTGATGGGATGTATCCTCTCAACATGTATTTGAGCATGGCAAGCCTGAGGGAAGCAGACACTCCTGGGTGCTGATTCAAGTTACAAGCTGCCACGTGAGTAAATCCTGTTAGTTTCACCATTGGAGAAAATACTTTCTTGTGTTTTCTTTATAAAATGGAATTAAGTTTTACCCCCTTCCTCATTATCTCCTTAATCCCCATGAAAAAAAATAAGACAGCCTCTTACAGCCATGTCACCATGGTGGGGGGGAGACTATCGGGGTCAATGAATCAGGGATAAATCAGGTTTTTGCAAGGTAAACTTTGCAATGTGAACTGTGACTGACCAAATGCAACGATTTTGTCATTCTGTGCTGGTACCTGGCTCAGTTTCTTCCTAAACCTCTATTGCCAGGGAGATGCTGGTGAGATCACCGTGAAACATACAGTATCAATGCCAGAGCCAGCAGGTTAGTACAAGAGAAAGATCTTTAGCAGCAAGTGAAAAATCATGAAAATTCATAAAGAGCGAGCAAGCGAGTGAAAGATTTAATTAAGATCAGTTAATTAATAAAAAAATATTTCTCAGTGTGACATCTCCTCTTTAAAAGGTTCACCAAGAGGGAATCGTGTAGTGATGGTCTTCACTGAAACCTCATTTAAAGATGAGTCCAAACCAAGCGATCCCCATGTTTTAGAAAGATTTGGACCCATTTCTGAGCTCTCTATGGACTGGACTTGAGTGCTAATTTACATTGGATTGAGGTGGCTGAGAGTTATAATCTCTTTCCTTTGCATTGCAAGTGGTTCTGCTGGCATGTGTTAGCACTAAGAGCCCCTGTGCTGAACCCGGCCCCAAGACCAGTACAGCCAAAAAAGCCTGCAGACCAAGTGGAAGGTGACAGAGGTTCTCTCTCCATGAAACAGGTCCAGCATAAGCAGTGATTTCCCATCACTCCCCTGCCAAAAACTCTCAGCCTTCACCTGCAAGAGGATCCCAAAAACTGAGTTCAGGTTTTACGGTTCATGACCTTATTTATGCAAACTCCTCTCCACAGGCACTGGATCTGAGATGCTCCAATTCATTGCACGTAGGTCCCCTGGACAGCCAGACACCGGCCATGAACTTTGGGCTCTTCTGTGCTGTAGATACACCCAAACCAGCTGCAACTCCCCAGAGGTTAACTGAGCTCCAGGACAGCTCGATGCTAACACATGCAGAGAGGCACAGGGCTGGCTTGGGTGTCTCTACATTGTGCTGCCATGGAATAAGCAACCTGACAGCAAAGGTTCTCATCGTCATGATTGTCTCACCTATTCCTCCTGCACTGCCTCAAAGCAAAGACGAATGGTTGGTGAAGCAATAGCAAAGAGCAGCATGCAGACACTTGCTGACGTAGCCACAGTCGCTGTCACACATTTGAACAGAAGCTGCACACAACCCCTTTTTTTTGCTAAAGAACATAAAAGAACAAAGCATGAGCTAGTACCATTGGTGTTCTTAATGCCTTGTCATCCAAAATAACTGTCTACTACAAGGAGAATCCATAGAATGCATTAGCTCTTGGAGGATCCTGGTTTCCAAATAGCTTAGTTTACAGAAATACTGAGGAAAAAAGGTAGTTTAACAACCCATTTGCACAAAGCACAAGCACAAAGATCGGTAATAGAGACTGAAGCAGCTCACTTGCAGGGAAAAGATGCTTTTGATTTCCAAGTGACTATCACCTCAAGTGCAGAGGCGTCATGAGCAAACTGTTCACAACTGCAGTTTTGAGGTGATGCTTTTGACCAAATAAAGCAACATGCTCCTTAGAGGACAGTTCTGACTACTTGGAAGTAGAGGAATTTTGGGTGCGCTCAGGGGATGGGACTGCACCACCACAACAGCAAAACAAGACTTCACATGCAGAACGTGGTTTGTGCTCAGAGACTGCTCCCTGAGCACAAGGGTGTTGGTGGGGGCATCTCACCAAGCCAAACCTGATGATGCTGTTTTGCACAAAGGAGGACCAGGGCCCCAGTCCCTGCTTCTCAGAGCAAAACAGACCATCTACAGCAGACCAAGATTAAACCCAGGCTCCAGCATCTGAGGACATCTGCCCTTTTATACACCCCCAGTCCCAGCTGGTCCCATCTCCACTGCATGTTGTAGAAGATACACGGGGCACAGCAACAGGCAATGCACAAGCCAGCCCCAAGGGAACAAGCTAAGGGAATCCCACACTTAATTTTCTCTTTGCAAATGGTTTATGGTCAAACATGAATCACATTGTGGCAATGAACAGGGCCATTTGGGTAGCATGATGCTGCTCATCCCATGCTGGATGATAACCTGTCTACAGAGAAACATGGAGTGAGGAAACCAAGGACTGGGCCTTCTGCTAAGTGCTATTCCCTGGGTTTATCAGGAGGAAGTCCACCCTCAGGCCTGTACCTGCCCCAGTGCTAATTCACAGGACCACAGGATGGGCATTGTGGTGAAGAGCATCCCAGAGGGGCCGACTCAACAGTAGGGAGATGGCTTGGATCTGAGAGTTCAAAGCCAGACAGTGGCAGGGGATCCCCGAGTGCTCTAGTCAGGAATGCAATGAAAATCAGACAAGACCTCCCCACATTGTTTCTCTGACACTAATTCTGCTCTGCCTTGTCTCACTTAAGTCACTGCCAGTGGACAGAGCCCAAAGCATCCAGCAGCATGTGTTTTGGTATGACTTTGTGTGTGTGTGTGAGCCAACATCAGCCAACCTTTGCTTCCCAACCACTCCCTGTTGTCCAGGGAAGGCCGGTGGGCCGAGCTCAGGACCACCCTGCAGCTCTGTGACAGCCCCAAACCCACGTACAGGCACATCTGTAGGGCTGACAACACTCAAATTGGGCTCAGGAGCAGATCTGCGGTCGTCTGGGGGATCCCAGACCCAAACCCAAGCCAAGTAAGTCTACACAGAACTGGAATACAACCCTCCGTATCACACACACACACACAGAGATGCTATCAGACTTCCTGCTGCTGGACAGGCAGGACCCCTCTGGAAGCTCCCGGCTGGAATTCCTCCTCCTGGCTCACATTCGTACCAAGAACTTCTCATCACAGGGTTGCCCATCTGCCAGGCTAAAGGGTGACGACAGAGGGGCTGGTGGAGACAAGGCAGAGCTGGTGGCACGGTGTCAGACACGAAGCAGCTCCGATGGGGTGCTCCAGTGCCTAGGATTCGTTTACGAGGGATCAGAACCGTTTTCTCCTTGTGTCGTCTTAGAGTAATGTTGTGCGTTTCCTCAAGCTGAATGTCTCTGCTTTTCCTGCTTATGATTCTTGTGGAACCACTTCCATCAGTTTCTGGCACAGGACTGTTGCGGAGACTATGGGGAAGAAAGCAAAGTACAGGTCAGAGATCACACGCAGGGGCCCAACATATATCTTGGTCTTAGTTCATGATCCTCTGCCTCAAATGGGCTCATCCTTTAGCCTCCCCACCGTGATTCTGAGCAAGTTTAGTCCAAATACAGTGTAAGACTTGAAAGCAAATGAGCAGTGGGCTATAACTGACTCATGCCCAGAACTTAAACAGGACATATAAAATACATACATTCATATAAAATGGAACACAGGGAACTCTGCTTCTGCAGCACGTATGCTGTACTGCCCTGAGATGCTCCAGTATGTCTTGACACTTGCATGGTGATATGGTATCTACATTTGGATGCCATAATTGCAAGCAGCCAAAACCGAGTCAGGCACAATAACAGGAATTAGCATAGGAAATAGAAACTGATGCTTTTACTTCCTATTTTGAAAACCTTGGCTGTATGTGAACGCAGCTTCTTTAATTGAAGACAAAACCAACTCAGCCTATGAACCCAAAGCAGAGCCCACTGCCTTGCACAGAGCAGGTGAGAGCAAAGGAAGCATTTCAGGTGCCAGTCTGCACAGGAAAGGTGCTAACCTGAGGTAACTTTATTTTTCCACCCATTAGTTTAGGTGGCTTGTGTCCAAACACACCTGTGCCTTCTGCTGCTTCACCATGTGTTTGGAGATCACAAGATAGTCTAGCCAGGTAGAGCTAACACTAATTGTAAATGCACACAAATTCCAGCCAGATCAGTTGGAAGTGACCAAACTCTTTGCAATATGTGAATATACACATGACAGGAATTCTTATGTTCCTAACTGGGCATCTGCAGGATTATCATTCAGTGTTCCCAGAATATTTTCTATATTCTCCTAACAAACCTTTGAGTGGGTAGAAAACAATTAATATGGTAATTCACCACTCAGGCACTGCAGAAATGGCTTTTCCAGGAACTGAGCCTAACACTCTGAATAAAACAGTGAGTGTGTGAGAGGGAGAGAGAGACTGCAGGGGGAGAATAATAACAAGTGCTAAGCACTGTTGAAAGGCTTTTTTCTTCTTCATAAAATGCATCCAGCTAAGGCTGGGCATTTCTCCTTGTCTGCTTTTCTAGGTCAGGCTGTTGCATGCGAGCTGGGGGGGGCCGATGGTGCAGTTTAGTTACTTGAACACATGGAATGACTTTCTTGATTCAGGTGCTCAGGGAGAGGTTCCACGTGCCAAGCACAGCCCCTCCATCCCTTCAAAACACCCCGTGGGGTAGTGTCAGCTGCTGGAAAACCTTATATGAAGATACCTTAAAAATAAACCTTGTAAGAGAAAGCATCCAGGGGATTCTGTTCTCCCTCTGCTCTGCTGCCCCATTTTGATGCCAAATTGAGCTTTGACTGGATCAGAAACGGTAGCACTGGCTAAGAGATGGATCAGGACTAATTATGAAGTTTCAGCAACCAAACTGAGGCCAACTGTGCTCAGACTGTGACACTGTTAGTTTTTTTCCCTTCCTACGCCACTGGAAAAGGATTCTCTGCTGACAAAAGGTTTGACCCTGTGCTTTGACAGGAGGTAGAAGAAAGGCAGCAATGTGCTCAGCAAATTACGCTCCACTGCGTAACAGCCACCAGTTTGCCAAGATGAAGAATACCCATGGTATTTGGCCCAAACTTTGCAATTATCACAAGGCAGGGTGTGTTTTGGGTGCTTGGTAGATAAGGTAATCACCAGGTTAAAACTTGTTTCCATTAAAGAAGAGTTAATCAGAACTAAGACACTGGAAGTCTCCATTCTGCAAAGGAGAGCCAGTGCTACTAGCTGTAGCACGCTCACCAGGAAGCTGCTATTTCTGGAGCAAAAGCCAAGGCTGCACCTTTGCTTTCACTGGTTATACTTACAAATGAGTTGGACAACCCATTCGGGCTTGTTTTGCCACCAGACCCCGAAGAAGTAAACAGGGATCCCACTGAAGATGATCGCAAAGCCAATGGCGCATTCCTTCGGTGTCATCCAGAAGGAAACAGCAATGAGAAACAAGCAGGCCAGGATGAAGAAAATGGGCAGGCAGATATTCACCTGAACAGGGACCCAAAGAACAGATTAGAAGCTGTATCAGGGGAACAGTGTATGCTTTCCAGTCAAGTTTATCTAGCTGTACAGCTCAGGGAGGGAAGAAGCTCATGTTCTCCTATGGATGCCTACATGGACAGTGCTCCTGTCTGCCTCAGTGCTCTGAATAAGAGGACCATGGCCCTGAACTGCCACGGGGAAGGTATTGGTTTATGCAGTGTTCTTCCTCAGTCCTGGGGAAAACAGATGTAGGCTAACACCTACCACGTACATCTAAAACCAGCAAAACAAAGCACGCACATGTGGCTTGCCAAGAGCCTTTCTCAGCACCCTTTTTTTGACCCCAATTCCATACTTAGATGATTCCTTATAAAAAACACTTGTACCAACAGCATCAAATTCAGCAGCAACCACAGAATGAGCAGTGCTGCTTCTTCACAGCAGTTCTTAGGTTCTGAGCAGGGCACCCCCCAAGAGCAGCGTGGCTTTTAGAATCAAAGCCCAAACCCAAACGAAACACCCTGCAAGTTACTTTGGGAGGGCACTGGTACAGGTCTGTGGGTTTTGCTTCTCTCTGGCTGCCTGTGGCCTGGCAGAGACCTGCTGGGGGACGAGTAAGAAACATGCCTTTAAGGAAGGCAGACATGCTTGTGGCTGACACAATCTTGGGCTCGTCCCAGATGGGATACGGCACTGCCAAGCTGGCCAAGGACAAAGAGAACAAAGTTCTCCTCTCTGCAGGCGTGGGTTTGCCTGCTTTATTAGAAAAGCTATTTTAATTGAATTCCACGATGTCGCAGAGCGTTTCACTGTGTGCCACAGCCTAGGATTTGCCCTGGGGAATACGTCAGTCACTGAGAGCTTCCCATTGGGCTGTGCCATCAGAGCACCCCGCATCTCTGACGCTCAGAACCTCTTACTCTCTGATGTCCCCCTGGTAGCTCCTTGTCCTCGTGCACTGATTTGCATCCAGCAGGTTCCCATGCAGCAGGTTGCTTACAACACAACACTTCCTCCTCACACTCGCAATCCCAGTTCGCCTTCCGTAGAGGATAACCAGCTTGTACTTGCCAACCTTCCCTGGTGCCCAGAAGGGACTTGGGAGGAACCACCACGCAGCTACCACACTGCTCTCACCTTGATGGGCCTTTCTAGCTCTGGTTTCTTGTAACGCAGCCACATCATGCCGATGATGGCCAGAGCCACGCAGAGCCAGTTGAAGAAGCTGAAGAAGTTGATGACTGAGAAAATGTTGTTGGAAAAGGCATACAGCAAGGTCATGATGCACTGCATCCAGAACAAAAAAAGCCATTAGCAAAGGCAGTAGGCAAACCCAAGTTATGTTACAGCACTAAATTCAGGTTTTTCAGAACTATCTGCTAGGGAAAGAATCATGTTGATTATTTTTTACTTCTTTTAGGTTATTTGCAATTGGTGCCTGCAGTGATTTCAAAACAGAAGTGGAGTATGAGGATACGATGAGAGGGAGGTCTATCCTCCCCTGTCGGTGCTTGCAGGAATGGCTCTGTCTGGAGGTGGTGCCCGAGTAGCCCCATCCAACCACTCTGATGTGATCCTACCCTAACCCATTCCTCAGTACCACATTGATCCTCATCACCAGAGAGCCAGGTGCTTACCGTAAAGACGAGGGATGGCACAGGAGTGAGGAGCCTGGGGTGAATCATAGACAGGATTGAAGGCAAATGTCCTTCTCGGGATCCCACAAAGAACAGCCTGAGATGGGGGAGACGGAGCAGTTATCACCTCTGCAACCTTCAGTCCTGGGCTGGGGTTTGTCTTCAGCACAAAACAAGTGGGGACAGCTCAAGCTCAGCCTAGATGCGTGCTGAGGCAGCAAGATTGAAAGGCCCAGGCTACATGCAGGTTTTCTACCTCAGCAGTGCTTTGCATAGTGCAAGAGTAGCACCCTTTTGCTAGTAAGGCAAAAGGAGTGATGCCCTCCAGGATCAGACCCCAGCACAGGTGTTCTACACACACACAGAGTGGAAAGCCCCTCTCTTAGGGAAGGAAGGCTGGAGACAGCCAAGGAATGCAGGAAAGGATGTGTTTATAGCCTCCTTTCCAGAGGGAGCAATTAAGTGGCTTTCCTAAGACAACCTGGGAGATGTGTGTCAGAGCTGGAACCGTCTCAGTCCCTATCCTGCCCTGTTCTTTCTCGAGGTATTCTCAGCCCTTAAGTTTCATAAGTTTCTGCTTTTCATTAAAGCCACTTTCTCAGGCAACAGCACTGAGCCTCAAGCATGTGTTTGCTTATGTTCTAATAACTTCAATGGGATTTTGCCTGAGAAACAGAAGACCAAGATCACTCAAAAGTCTTCCTTTAAACTGGATATGGTTTTGAAGTCTTACTTGGTTTTCCCTTCACTCCCCACATGGCCTCCAGACCCTTCAGACTTTGTGCCTAAGCACAGCCACTCTTTGGAGGACAATGCCAAGCAAAGAGGGTTGAGCACAGCTTGTAAATAAACCCACAGAATTAAGCAAGAAACCTACCGGGAAGAAGTGAAGAGAGATCCATTAACGGATCCAAAGCAGGATAAGCCAACAAAGACGGGTATGATCCAGGACATGACGCCAAGGTGATAGTTCCCAAAATCCTAAACGGGGGGCAACAATACAGATATTTCAAACCCAGAATGCCCAGAAGAAATCACAGCTGCCTACAAAGACTTAATATTTATAGAGATCTGAGCAAGTGGCATGGCTTGGTGCCGAAGCTGTTATGGGATTTTCCATATTGCCATTTGTTGCTCCTCCTTTCCCACAAAGCACATTGTGGAACTGCAAAAAAACATCAGCAATAAGCCCTTCCTTCAGAGTCAGGACACAATATTTATCACAATAGTCATCCAAAGGTTCAAGACCAAAGGGAAGCTGCGAGGAGATTCAGACATGCAGCTATTGCCAGTTGCTGAGTAAGGACCTGGGATGCAGCCCCTTGCAAAGGCAGTGACCTGGAGTAGTATTTTCATATCACAAACTGACCCCATGCTGCTTCCCTGCAGTTTTACACCAATGCTATTAATGCACTGATTTCAAGACTTGCAAAGGTAAGCAAGACAACCAGACAGACAGCTAGTGGAATAACTCAGTGCTGAATAGGTGCAGGCTGGAGCAGGGTCTTGCTACTAACCCAAAGGATGGAGCACATCATCAGAACGGCCCAGACCAGCTCATCCCTTATCCTGGGACTGGGAAATTCCCTTTGAAGCACTGAACAAACCTGGTCACACTCAGTTTGCAAGATCACACTGTGCTGCTTACTTCCAAAGCAGTCAGGATTTCTGACCTCCATGGTATTTTAATTAATACAAGTATTGTTTTCCTTTCTTAATTAAAACAAAGAAGATACAGAAAGAGAACAACCTAGGTCAGTATTGAATGCATGACCTTTTCACACAAGTATCATGTGCTGGTAACTGATGGGAAGTCATGGGGCCAGCAGCAAGCTTGCATATTGACCAAATCAAGAGCAGTGGTAAGTGACTGCCCACCCTCACTACTGTCTGTGATTAATCCCACTTGGTATCACACTGTTCTTCCCTGCTCCCGTCACAGTTGCTCTTTATCTCCTGTCAAACATCAGCTCTTTTGTATGCAGCCATGATCAGCCTGGAAGGAACTATGAGATGTATGGAGAGATTGCACATCTGATTTAACCAGCCCTACAAGACAGATGAGTCACATCAGAAATGCACCTAGCTTACCACAGCCACAGCTTCGGATGTCAGCATCTGCTCTGTTGACAGGGTGGTGAAGTAAGCCAAGTTTGTCAGCACATAAACCAAAGTGACTACAGGTAGTGAGATGATGATAGCCAGAGGCAGGTTTCTAGGAAGAAAACATAGACTGCAATGGAGTGCTGCAGTTCAGAGAAGAGGGTTGTTGATGTCTTCATGCCACAGCCCTCCAGTGCGCGCTTGAAGTTTGCTTGAGCCATTCTGCCCTTTGGCTCTTTAGCATGTCCCGTTTCCCAGCCACACACTGCTCCCCTAGGAAAGGAGACAATGCCCACATGGGAACAGGCTGGAGCCTGACATATGTAGAGTGAAGGATTATGGCAGAAGGAACTTTATGCATGGAGAGACTCTGACTGTCTGGGCAAGCAGTAGTCCAAGGTCACTGCAAAGGCCATTAGTTAAAAATAACCTCCAATGCCAGTGGCATTAGTACATTTATTCTCTTCTGGGCAGAGAACCATTCCTGCTAGTGGGTTTCTTGTGGGAGATGGAAAGATCAGCGATTTAGTGGGCAAATTTTAGGCTCTAACTGTGGAGCTCGCTGGACTGATGAAACTCAACGAAAACGAGTTCAGACACAGTTGGAGTCGGTCTGTAATGATGAGGCTGTGTTGGTACAAATTTGCCTTTCCAAACAGTCTAACTTCATTTGCAAACGGAAACTGAAAAAGGAAACCCTGCTTGATACCATGTATAATTGGTCAAGTGGAGCTCAAAGCCACAGGAGGAAAGAGTCAAATACTGTGACTGCATTCAGGAAGAGATTAAAATAATTGCAAAATGGCAAAAAAACCACTTTCTATAACTGTGTTTGTGAAGGAAAGGTCGTATCAAACCTTATGCTTCCCAGCAGGCACTAATCACTGCCAGGGTCAGCCAGGAATGGGTTCTTGCACAAGCAACCCACGACAACAGTGCCCCATCGCTACCTCGTCTGTGAGCAACAGTGATTTATCAGCGACGTCCTGGCTTTGGTGTTGCCCACCCTTACCTCAGCCCCGAAAGGCATGAGCAGTGCAGAAAGTGGCTATGGCTCAAGAGAAGAGGAAGAGCACACGACAAGTGTATGTCCACACAAGTACTCTTGTGGGAGTTTATACAAGATGGCAATAGAGCCACGAGTGTTTCTTCCTCACATGTAATTCAGAGAGGTGCCGTGCCAAGGAAGCAGGACTTCCCAACAGCACTGGTAATATAAGCAGTACAGGAAAGCAGTGTAAGCAACAGCTCCTCTCAAAAGGAGATTATTATTCCCCCTTCCCCTACTTGAGGGAGGAACTACGCCATTAATTTAACTTGTTTTCTACTTCCCCTTCTGGGCTGATCAGCAACCCCTGTTACACAGACGAGGAAAAGGCTTCCTGAGAACAGGTTCTCCCCCCCCAGGGGAAGCCATCACAGGACACACACCTACCTGTAGGGATTTATCATCTCTTCTGTAACAAAATTCAAGTAATTCCTGTAATTTAAAAGGAACAGTGGTTATTTATGGTTAGCCCATGGAATAAATGAAGCCCTTCATCCTATACTCATCTGCAAGGGAATTTAAAGAGGGGTAGAGAGACTGGCACCTGCAGTAAAAGTTACGATGGCTAATGCCTAGTCCAAGAGCTGCAGCAAAGGACAAGCCCTGGATGGTGGTGGTGGATATAACAGACCAGCTTTTGTGCAAGAGGAGGGGTGATTGCTGGTGAAGATCTGGACCCAGGACTGACAGGGCCACCCCTCCAGGCAATAAGGGTGGCTGCAACTGGCCTGTTTTTACAGCAAACTGAGCAGGCTCCTTGTGCTTGCAAGTGCTCAAAGGGACTGACGAAGAAGCCCTCCAGGAGCTTCAGTTTGGTGCTCAAAGCAATCTGCTGGCATTTAGCATATCTCTCTTCTAGCTAACCCCATCCTACTGCTGTCCCTTAACACACACAGAAGCTGTACCCAGCATCATGGTGCATCATCACCCATCATCTGCTGCCTCTTCTAAATGCCATGATCACCTCCACTTCTTTGTGCTCTGATGTCCTGGCTGGAAACAGGGTGTGAAGTATGACTACCAATGTCAATAGCCAAACCCAAACCAACTGGTTACAAGAAAGATGGGAAGTCTTCCATCATACTCTTCCTTCAAACATAATCTGAGGACAAAAGGAATGGACTACAGCATTTAGAAAGATAGAGGGCTGAATCTTACCATCCTCCATAGGCGAAGAGACCACTGTACAGAGCTAGCACGATGTTCCCCACATCTCCTTTCGTGCCTTCAAAGGAGTGCTCAGGAGTCAGGTTTGTCACGTCACCTGCAGAAAACAAAACCAAGGCAGATGGATTGTGACCCTTTGTGGGGTTTGAAACAGAGAAACCTGGAGGCAAAAGCTGCTCTTAGTATTCTTAGTTATCATAATGATGCATTTTGGGTTATGCTACAGAGCATGTGCACGTATTGGGCTGATTCCTCCAGCTTTACAATACTTAACTCATCTGGAATCATGCACAAAGTAATCAGCACCAAATACACTTGTCTCAAGCAAATGGCCATTACTCAAAACTTTCTCACACTACAATGTGCCATCACTAAGGTAACCTCTCAGATACCTCCTCTCTGCAAAGAAAACACTCTGGGGACCTTCCTGCTGGAAGATGCTATGCAAACAGATATTGTCACATTGTCCTCCCAACTGAAAGCTGCTTTCGTTTGATAAAAACCCAGGATTTCCTTCACTTCCACCAGCCACCCAATAAAGCAGAAACCCAGGATTTCCTCTAGTCCCACCAGCCACCTGATAAAGCAGAGGGTTAAGGCGATGCCTTTGATTGTGGGAAGTCAGGTTCTGTAGGGCTTGAATATCAAAAGTTTCTGTTATGTTATTTACTTTTAAAATAAAAAGCCATAAATAGACTTGTTTGTACCTTTGGTAAGAACTCACCCACACCAAAGGGCTTATTTATTTTGCTTTAAAATGCTCTGCAGTTGTTTTGTTCCCTGCCTTTTGATGTGGAGCCTGGCTGTGGGATGGCAAAGCCATGCTCCCCTCCCTGCATCCAGTGCTCCTCTTGGGAGAGGACAGAAGCAAGGAACGAGGCAGGACTCAGCAGGGCAGGTTTGCATCCAGGGAGCACTGTCGAAGCCCATGTGATTCCTCTTAGGGCACAGATCTTTACTAATCACCCCAGCAACTACATCACATGGCAGTCAGCAGGGCCTGGAGCTTAACCCTTCATCTCTTAGCACAAGGTACCTACGATGTGCTTCTGGGTATGGGAAAGAGATGCTGACAAGCCAAGCACTTCTGGATGTCCCCTCTTCTCATCTCACACTGTAAACTTGCACTCCCTTATGTCACCAAAGACCTCTTTTGCAGGGTCTGGGTAACAAATGCATTAACCTTTTAACACCTCAAACTCATCTTTATGGTGGTGGAAAAGGGGACTTTTCCTGACAGCGCTGTTGTTCTGCTGCTGCATCCTTCACTCATGGGGCTTCACAAGGAACTGCTCCAAACCAGTGCCAGTGACACAGAACTGCCCTGTGTGCATGGAAGAGTTTTGCTTGTCTTTCCCCTTCTCTACCTGACCCTCCAGCTTTATCCCCACCCTCTCCATCCTGGACATTACTCTTTTACCTCCTTTCTCCCTCCTGCTCCAGCTGAATCTTAACCATGGCAAAAAGATATTCCTTAACGCAGCATGCAAAATGCTGTCTGCTCACAAAGTACCCAGGAAACCACCATCCCTCTGCCTTCTTTCCTGGCTAGTTGCTATCCCATTTGAGAGGGGATGCTGCAGATATGAGCTGCAAAGAGCCAGGACCCTAGCAGCAGCTCATGCACTGGGCAGTCATGTCCAGGGAGCCCCGTGCACTTACGTCTAACAGGTCTGCAAGGCTCTACTTGTCCACATTCCACTGCAGATTACAGTTCTGTACTGGTGTTGCCTTGTTTCTATCTCCAAGCACCTCCTTGCACTAGGAAGCTCTCTTCTGAATGTATCCTGGTTGTATTTAATGCCCCTTCAGCCAGTGAATCTCCTTTGCAAGATGCACCAATCAGTTTTAAAGTGAGGGTAGAAAACATACATCAAAACGTAATAGGAAAGCCAGGCAATTCAAAGACACCGATACAATGCTGTGAGTTTAACCTTAATTCCTTGGCTTATCGGTTCAGTCACATAATCTTAATTTAGCATTAATGCCCGGGCCTGGCTGTGAATAAAAAGGCTGATCCGGAGGTGGGTGTGCACAGTATCACATTCTGCTGCATCCCTCGGGCTCAGCTTTCCTGAGTTAATTTTCTGCCCCTCCTAGATAATTACCAGTCTAGTGCTTTCCAGGTCTTTTGTTATGGGAATAAGATACACTTTTTGTTAACAGTGACTGTAATTAGCTACTAGAACTGCACACCGATGGACAAGGAGAGCTCTCTCAGCATTGCAAACACCCCTCGGGAAGTCTCTTTAAGGTCTGCTCATCAGTAGCTCCCACTTGGACCACCTCTTTACCATGTCAAGAGGATGCACCCCCATTTCTTGTCCGCAGCTAGACACCATCTTCCACCAGCAGCCTCTTTCTGCCCATCACAGGCAAAAGCTCTCAGTCCCAATGTTCCTTTTTCTGAGGCATCTGCAGGTTTCACTCTGTGCCCTCTAAAAACCTCACACAGGAACCATGCACTGGTGCTGCTGAGGAAGGGCTGAGCTGCTGCCCTCACCCCGCTGGCCAGGATGAGGGACCACCAGTAGTCTCCAGCCCCAAACCACACGCCTGGATTCAGGATGTTCCATCCGCTTGGGGACCATGAGCATCTTTAGCCTCTGGGCAAGGATGGGTCCAAGCCCAATTTGGTGTCCTGCTGGGCTGTACAGACACTTTGGCTGTGTGTCAGGACTGCCTGCCCTCCAGGATACATGGACAAAGAGGGAAAGGCAGCAAAGGGAGTAGCACTGATGCAAAGAACAAAGCCTTGGCATTTCATTATGCTGCGGGTGAGGGTGATGGATGGGTGGGACGTAACTAATTACTCACACACCTTTTCCTTGCACCCGCTGCGGCATGCACCTAACTCATCCCTTTGAAGCATCAGCAACAAAATGCAGCTACTGGCAAAGGAGTGGCAAGTTAGGTCAGTGTGGAGGCAGCCAGGAGAGACTACGAAGGAAGGAAAGGGCTTTTTGTTCCTCCTCAGCACCTGAGGAGCTAACACCTCACTGTGACACCTCATCTATTGAGCTGTACCTCTCAAACGCTTGCAGTGAGTTGCTAAACTTCACATCTCTGTGCAACCTGCCAGAACGCAATGAAATAACCAGAGGAGCCAAGATCTATCTCTTCCTACTGCAAGGGGCAAGCTCATGTTGTTAGGTGTCCACACGATGCTCTTTAGCTTCTTTCATAGAGGGACTCTTCACTGGGGACTGTAGTGACGGGACAGAGGGTCAAGGGTTCAGACTTAAACAGGGGAAATTTAGGTTAGATCTTAGGCAGAAGCTCTTCCCTGTGAGGGTGCTGAGGCGCTGGCACAGGGTGCCCAGAGAAGCTGTGGCTGCCCCATCCCTGGCAGTGTTCAAGGCCAGGTTGGACACAGGGGCTTGGAGCAAGCTGCTCTAGTGGAAGGGGTCCCTGCCCGTGGCAGGGGTTGGAGCTGGGTGAGCTCTGAGGTCCTGTCCCACACAAACCAGTCTGGGATTCTATGATTTACAGCTACTTGTTTGCATGAGAGGAACCTGGGCTCCTTAACAAGCATGCCCCAAGTATCAAATCCCATCCTCTCCTGCCATGGTCACCTAGCTCTGCCCCACACTGCCAGGCAGCAGATCAGCAGAAAGGCAACAATCTGTGCCCACCAGTAATGCTTGTAGACGTAACTGGCATCAAAGTGATGCCAGAAGCATCCCAGATGCAGCAGGTGAGCTCTGACTGTACCCAGCATGCCCTGATCTCGTTAGCAGCCCCACACACAAAGGAGGTCCTTAGATCCCTGGAACAGAAATGCATCACACAAAGATGCACAGAGGTGGTGCAGAAGTCCCACAGGTGCACTGGAGGATGTGAAAGTGTCCATGAAGCACCACGTGCCCCTCTTGTTCTTACACTTATCCACAGACGCTTTACTGGTCCCAGTTGGAGACTGGGGATAGAAACAGAATAGTCTGGGTTGGAAGGGAACTCCAAAGCTCATCTAATCCAACCCACCTGCAATGAGCAGGGACATCTTCAACTTGATGGGCACAGGTTGCCCAGAACCACATCCAGCCTGGCCTTGAATGTTTCCAGGGATGCTGCATCTGGGCAACCCATGCTGGTGTTTTACCACCCTCGTTGTAATGAATTTTTAACTCGTGTCCAGTCTGAATCTCTTTTAGTTTAAAACCATCATCTCTCACCCTATCGTAACAGGCACTGCTACGAAGTCTCTCCCCATCTTTCTTACATTGGGTAGATGGTCCAGCACGGTCATTCTCACCTCCCTCCTCTAACACAAATTCTCACTAGGACCTGCTGTTCAAACGAGGTGTGAACCTCAGCTCTGGACACTGCATCGGTCGAGCCTCAGCGTGCAATTCAAGCCTCCAGCCTTAAACTGCTGACTCTGGATCAAATCAAGGGTTACAAATGCGCAGTGAGGCTGCCAAGCACGGCCCAACTGCTCCCATTGAGAGAGGGGTCTGTATGTGAGAGCATCCCAAAACCATGCTATGCGCACCCTCCGGATCCTTCATCCTCCCCAGCCCATGCAGACACGGCCGCTCTCAAGGCAATGCCCTGCCCGTGCCCGGCACCCCGGAGATCTGGAACCTGGTTTGAACTGGCTGTTCAGCCGCACTCTGCTCTACAATTAACCAAATTAAGGTAACAAGCTCTGACATAAACCCCATTTGCTGATCTTGCCAGCTGCCAAGACTCGGGTAATTGCACCGGCAAGCGATGGGTCACCCGGGGCCTTTCGGCAGGAGGGACCTATTTCAGGTCCATGCGCGCTGCGTGTTCAGACCCCTTCTTTGAAAAACATCCATTTGCTCCCCGGTCATGTCCGTTCCGGTTCTAACAGCACAGCAATCTTCTCTTGCAGAAGGCGTTTAATGATAATTAAGTACTTCTAACTTGCCTAAACAGCGAGCAGAGGGAACAGAGCCATGCAGACAGCTCAGCAAGAGAAGGGGGGGCCTCCAGCACGTCTCGCTCATGGAGGAGACGGAGCCAGGGAGAAATGTGCTGTACGCACAAACCCCCCCCGAGGAGGAGATGCACTCAGCTGTTGAGCCATTTCCCAAGAACAGCAGCAAGAGTTCAATGGACTGAGTCAGA